TGACGTTTCGTACCAATGTTGATACGCATCAGAAGGAGCTTATAATTCACCCATTAATCTTTGCATGATACTACTGGCTATTTTGCATCACGTGGTGCATATACAAGGTAATAACCCCCACTTATGTAAATGTTTGTCCTTCTATTATTTCTGTTGAAAAGAGAAAAATCTAGCAGAAAAAATACTAGTGTAAAAAGTCACCTTTCCATCTACCAGCCACCTGAAGGGGTTTATGACTGATTTTTAGAATTGATGTTTGTATTGCCTAGTTTCTTGGAAGCACTAACTTGTGAACAAAATATGATCGGGTACTGACTCCAGACTATGGGCTTAACAGCCCTGCCACTACCAGGAGTGGCCCAAAGGGAATTTCTCCTTATAGTTGCATTAAATTGTCAAGCAGAAAGACAACGAGAAGAAAGTAAACTATCAACTAAGAGGATAGTGTTCGATTTGATACCACATTCTCTGGGTTTGAATTACAAGAAATGTACGGCAATTGGTGGGGAGAGTTTGATATCATAAATTGGGATTAAACTGGACAAATCATGATCGTATGCCAGCACCAAGGTCACTATGCTGTGTTTTTGTTTTAGCTAAATATCGCGGGATTTCGAAGACTCGAGTTTTTCGCCGGAAGCTTCGAAAAGTCTTCAAAGAGTCCAAACTGTGTCGGGAGAAACGTTACAAAGCTCAATCCACTCTGTAAAACGATACCAAAGAGTTTCCCAAACTATATCACGTTTCCACAAGAATGAAACCACATGTTAACAATATGGACGACAATGAAGTAAAACGTGACCTTTGAACCAAGGTGATACTTACCATAGATTATCACGTTTGCTACATTTCTTCTAGTTGACAAAACTTACCATAGGACTTGCAGGACTAAGGTTGTTTTTCTGTTTAAGAAAGTTTATGGAACTTGTTTCTATGAATGTAGGGGGGTTTTGAACGAAGTTGATTGCTTTAGTTGACCCCACATGTTTTGAATAGTGCCAAGTGTTATGAAAATCGGTGTCATTAGCCATTGCATGTGGAAATTGGACCGACGTAAAGAAATGTCTTTGTTGAAGTTATTTTTTTAACACTCATAAACTCAAAGTAAGACGATGACTGTAACTGAAACTGATCTTTTAAGAGTAAATGGCAAGTGAAAAGAGCATCGCTCCGACATCTTGAAGTTATGATAACGCCGAATAAGATCAACAGCAGAAATATTACAAACTATACCAAATTTTATCATATCATTTCGATGTCTTCATTTTTCTTTCGGGCACACTTGCCTTTCGCTAACCGTACAACTTTTTGTGTTGTAGACATTTCGATTCATTTTTTTCTTCGCAGTGATGTTCGGGCACCGCTTGATCTTCATTTCGCTATTAACCGGGTTTATTTAGAACCACAACTTTTTGTTAGTGTTGTGCACCGGTATCGCAGAGGTTGGGTTTCTTTTGTTTCACCTTATTTTCTTTTAAGTAGTTGCGAAGATCACTTTCATTCATGTTTTTGTGTTGTGTTGTTTTGTCTCCTGTTTCACCTTTAAATTGTTATTTTTTTGTCTTTTGTTTGAGAAACATTGAAAGAAATGTGACCTTGTTAGAAATTTGTCACATGCTAGGAAACCCGTCAAATGTGATAATATGGGAAACAAAGAGTACACTTACATTTGCCTCGTTGTTAACATGTGGCTTCGTTTCCATGTTGGTAGTAACACTCAATAAATGTCTCGGAGGCACCGGTTTAAACCGTGTAAAAGTATTCATTTACTCAGGATTTTTATTCTACAATCACTTATTTGCATATCAAAAATGATTCATTTCGTTTGTTTGTAAAACCTTCCTTTAACAATCTCTTACTGGTGGAAAGAGCAACCTTGGATATCACCTTTATAGTGGAGAGGATTCAAGTAACATAGATATGTTGACAAACTGATATATTTGGAAAGTAAGAAACTTTTTTGAGTGAGAGATTAGATCACTTTTATTACCAAGATAAAATGTAATTGAGTGTATTTACGGCTATGAATATACTCTCTGAAATCGTCCACAACAATTCAGACTTACAATAAAGGTATTTTTCCATAAATCATATCCATATTAGGGCAAAAAATTAAATCAAGATAAACATTTGTTGATATTCATCCAGTAGTCTAAAATAAGGGTTTATTGAATGCTTACAAGTCATATTTCTCAGTTGAACAGCGAATTTTTGGTTGTGTGCTTTTCAAAACAGAGCCTTTTTGAATGGAGTGTCGAAAGTAATCAGGGATTGCTTTGGATTTGCCTCACTCCGCTCTATGATTGGTGCAAAGAACTCGCACCACTCTCTCAACCAATCAGATGCAAACCTAAAGCCAATCACGACTTAGACACCCGCGTTTTCCCGCGCTTTGGGCAATTTGCGTGGTTTTACTTTGAGTTCTCTAATCTTCTGATTGATTGTTGTGATAACTTTGGTTTTCGGTTTACGACACTCAATAGAAAAACGCTCTATGAGACAGTTATCATCTACTGCTAGAAACTTACATCTTTCAGACAGCAACAACCTAAAATTGACCATCTTTTCAGAGAAGATATTTGCACATTCAAAAACTGGCTACCTAACTCATTCTCCTCTTACTAATAAGAAAGACAGTATCTGTTACTTTCGCGTGGCGTTTTTTACTTCGACTATTATTCGGGAAAATGATTAGAATCCTCAGTGGATTTTTTAAAAATTTTTTTTTTAAAAATCTCTTAAAACACTAATAGGCTAAAACATATCCTTCCTGCTTAAGTTTTTTAGTTTCCGTCAGCCACCACCTCATCCCTATCAGAAGAAAAATATAACATTGTTAATGATTAAAGCATAGATATATATCTTCAAATGCAGTTCTGGAACTTCTAAGTCTTCCATGTAATAGTCTGAGAATTTTAAGAAAACTGACGTGTCGCACGTTTCTGTGGTTGGTGTACGTATTGCTCTTTGTTTATACGCGATTGAAAAAACGTTGACTCCTAAACAGCATGGTCCGCGTTGATGCTTTTGAAATGTTACATGGGTTTCCATGATATCATGGCAGTCCTTTGTTCTGATTGGCCATAATAATTGTTTTCTGTCAGGAAAGTGTGTGTGGCTTCTATCATATACCACGTGCGAAACAATGTCGTTCATGTTTTTATGTACCCATAAAGCTTATCAATTTTGGGTCTCATCGTCGATTGTCTTTTAAGTGTCAACGTTTATGTAATCGAGTGTACAGCAAGAAGGACCAGAGTAAACATTTCTACTAGAATGCCACAATTCTCAGTGTTTTTAAATTAGATATTTACCGATCATCGTATATTTTGTTCACTGCATAGTTTAATTCATTGGTTCCCCTGCAAAGCAGAAAGAAAGGGTGGATAGCGTACGTGAATAACCGAGATGATGACTCTTAAAAAAGCAGGTTTACAACTAACAGAATACCAAATCAATCAGCAACAGTATTCGTTTGAGGAGTAAAACATGATGACTAAAAAATCATGACTTGCATATTAAATATTATGCAGTAAGTAATCTGGACATCATAAGATGACTTAATTTTTGTGAAGATCAAAGTCCTAAAAAGATCTGGAATACAACAGTTAAATTAATGGTCGATGAGTCAGTGCACTAAAATGTATTTGGTTTAGACGTTTGTCTTTACAAACAAAGAAACAAAAAAAACTAAATGCGATTTGTACTCACGTCTGAAATGCAACTGTGTTGCTGTCCACATTCTTTTGACCTCTCCTATTTAAAAACAAGTTTATTGGTTGACATCAAAGGAAAAGAACAAAAGGAAGGGTCATATCTTCATGATATGTTAATATCATTCGAACATCTAAGTGTATTTTACTAAAATAATCCTGGCCATTTTTACGGTTCCATGATATGGAAATTTTTACATTCGTTAGACATAGTAGGTCTTCCCGTCAAGTAGTTTTTTCTCACCTTTTCCAGTGAAAGAATACACCCAATGCTACGACGGCGATTAAAATGATTACCAAGGGTAACACCACAGCAAGTACATTTACGCCTATCAAAGAATGGAAAGCATTCGTCAGTAAAACTACCGAGTGGAGGGAATTGGTTTTCCTCATATCTCAAAAAGAAAGAGCTACTAAGAAAGATTTTTTCGTCATGCCACGAAAATAAGATAGGGAGGTATTATCAGACCTCTTCACCCTAACCTGCTCGATTTTTTAGCCCACCTTGATCATCTTGAAAAATGCTATACACAGTATATTCGTGTTTCTCGAACGCATGTAATTTGTCTGCACTGAGGTGTATTTTTCCTCGAGACTGACTCGGATCAACCTTTCTGTTGGCCAAAATTCTGTAACTATGGGCTTAAAGGCGACAAAAAAAATTACAAAGTCCATTTCGACAAAATGACGGTAGGGTGATGACCCTAGATGAAAAAGGAAACAAATACTAAGCTATTGAGTGACATCAGAAACCTAGGAAAGCTCTTGGGCTAATGTTTTGAAAAAAAGTTTTAGATATTTTGGCTTTTTGGCAAAGTCAACCTTAGTGTCCATAATGACTACTCGGTAAGAGTACTCACTGCTTTCCTACGCTTTTAAACATATAACTACACAAGGTTCAACCTTTGCGATGATTCAACCTGGGTTTTTCGCCAACCAGGTGTGATGTAAAGAGGCTCATATAGTTCCAGCCGTAACTATCTATTTAACTTCGTCCAATGCCACTTTAGCTTAACCATTCGCATGCTCTTTGTGCAATCACAGTCAACTAGATCCTTTGCTGACTTTTTCTACGTAAGTCCAACCCTTTTTTTAAAATCAGCTTAAATCAACTTAAGAAACATAACACGATGATGATTAAATTGGTAAACCCCTGAACAAGAGTAGGTGAGATAAATATGAATTATGCTGCCCAGTTTCTATAATTTCCTCTGCGGTGATTGTTGGGTCGCCACAAACGACGTGTTAGGTTCTTTTAACGCGTCGGATGACGAGACAACACAACGATTAGAAAACAGTTTCAGCGGCACCTTCTGTTTTCCTGTTTCCCTGTTGCGCTCCGAGTATTCCCCCTTCTTTGTCTTTGTTAGCATCTGTCGTCATTTCTGACGGTGGTACAGTTGGTGAACCGGTAAACACTAGGAGGTCAAATAAAGTTTCAAATTCCGGTTTCTGTTTCTCCTCTAAGTAAATAAATCGAAACATGCACAAGAACTCGCCGTAACAGCACGACGCCAGGGGAACCTAATGAAATGAAGACTAATTCGAGCAAACTTTTCTCATCGCAAAACAAATATATATGAAAGGGAGGAATAAGATGATTGTTATTATATCCTGTTTGGAATCACTGGCGATCCTCTGACACTGACTGGTTCTCAGCAATATCGAGTATACAAGGTTCACACTATATTTTTCCTCTGATGAAAAACTAAAACAGAAAAACTAGTCTGTCAAGGCTTGCAAAGTGGACTGCAAAAAATCAAATTGTAGAAAAAAAAAGATGTAAGAAATGTGAAAGAGGAACAATTAACTGTCGTGTAATGTAATTTTGGTCTAAAATCATAATCAGTGATTTTAAATCGATCACGTGCTGTCCGCTCGTTGGATTTGAACTCCAGTCTATTCAATTACCTTCATGAAATTGAGCACATTTTGAAATTGACTAGCAGACGTATTAGCTATAGCACACTCTATCAGGTATCGCACCCAATGTGTCTCCATGGGCAGAAGCGGTTACTATACCTGAGCAGCCGTAGATTTCCACCCTCATCGATATATGATTGTGCCACTCAACAGGCATCAGGCGAATGTAACGTGCTGTTATTGGTGGAATGAGCACATTTTTTACAACTGTGTCACTGTCCTGATTTCCATAAAATACCTGATGTTGAGACAGTAAAGACTTAAAACGGAAGCCAAAAATGGTCAGTTTCCTGGGTAACGTTCTGGTGCATAAGGCTCATAGAAGAAATCTTACGTTTTGGTATAGCATTGTATGGCCTACAGTTAACTGCTGTACATAAAATAAGCACTTAAGTCAAAATGGGTCAGGCAGCTAACCTCTCTGCTCTCTTCAGCAGTAATCATACCTTTGCTGAACTGTCTTCCGTTGCATTATAAAATTCAAAAGTCACTCCGTCACTGCTATACTGTATGCGGTATCTGGACACCCACTGGTCGTTCCCATTCATCCCCTGAGTCGCAACACCTGTCACTCGAGAGTTATCACCGATATCCACTTGAAGCCACTGATTGAAGTTATTGCTCATGGCTGACCATCCCCCTCCCTTGTTCCCGTCTGCTTTCGAATTTAACCTTGCCTCCTTTGCGCGATGATCCTCATCCATTTGGGAGGATACCCTTAGGTTGGCATCAGATATTTCTTTATTCTCCACACCAAGTGCTGCAGCACATCCTGTGTTTGAAAAAATATATATTGTTTTAAAAGTTAATAATTTGGATCGTTTCAATATAGCAACACATTCGAGTAACCTTCCAACAATAAGATTCTGCTTAGTTGGTTTAACTGCTTGGATTGCTTCATTTCATCACGTAAGGGACCATTCTGTAAAATTAATTGCGTTTTTTTGTCAAATAACCTATTTATAAAATGATTAGTTCTAATTGTTTCTTTAAAGCACCTGGACAGCCATAGATCTCTATCCTCATTGAGATATGATTGTGCCACTCCACCGGTATAAGCCGTATAAACCTTGTTGTGATTGGTGGGCTCAAACTGCTGTGAACCACTGCCTCGCTGTTTTGATTTCCAGTGAAAACCTTCAAGACAATTACAAGGAAAACTGTTGTTATCTTGCATGCGAAAAATTTCTATCCCATGTTTAAACTAGATGACAAATTTGTCACAAAAAAGGAGTGTTCTTGATATGAATTATAATCAGTCTGATTGTGGAGCTGAGTTTATCTCATCCATTTTTGTCACAGTAAGGAAAACAAGCACAATATTCGTTTCCCTAAGGTGCACTTTTTTCAAGGCTTAGCTACTAACGTCATCAGGAAGACCACCTTTTTTAAGTTGCAGACGATCAGTCTTAAAATGATTTAACATACCCTCGCTACGCTGGCATTTGATGGTTTGTACACCTGGAAGCTCTGGCCATCCTCACCGTACTCCACCCTATACTTGGTCACCCACTGATCGTGCCCATTCCTTCCTTGAGTGGCCAAACGTGTCACACGCGTGTAAGTACCAAGATCTACTTGAAGCCATTGGTTAGCATCATTTTCGAGAGATGACCAACCTCCCCCAAAGCCACCGTCTGCTTTATAGTTTAACCTGGCCTGACTTGCGAGGCTTTTGTCATCCAAAATCGAGGATGTAGTTATCTTTGAGTCAGCAATATTTCCGTTTTCCATGCCAAGAGGTGTGATGCAGTCTACAAGATGCAAATCAAGAACCAGGAAGAAAATGTACTTTCCTTTGAGGGAATGGTCAGATTTAATTTGAATAGCTACCGATAAAAAACACTGACACTGGTCGAATTTAATTTTTTTTCAACCTAGAAGACACATATTACTCTGGCCGTTTTCATAATCAGGTAAAAACAAAAACTAGCTCGTGGATGGAAACGATCATGCGGTTGACTTGATTCATCTAAACCTGCATCTTTTTTATTGAGTAACTGAACTAAGATGAAGACCCTTACCACAAGCCACTTCTAAGATTTTTGTAAACCCGTTTTTCAAAATGTCCGTAGTCATGTCATTGAAGAAGATACTTTTCAACTATGAAAGACAGAAGTCGTTCGAAATGATTGAATCTACCTGGGCATCCGTAAATCTCAATTCTCATTGATATGTGTTTATGCCACTCTATCGGCAATAATCGGACGAAACGTGCTCTGATCGGCTCGCTAAGTCTTTTGACTACAACTGTGGAACTGTCTTCATTTCCATCGAAAACCTTCAAAAGCAAGTTTTAATAAACAACGTAATTAACATTCAGTTTGCTTCATTCTCTCGCAATTGCCCAAAAACTTACTTATCCGCCCAACCACCTATAAAGCCACTTGCCCTCCCCCAAACAGTCATTTACAGCACACAATTGCCAAAACTGGGCTGAACGTTTTCTCATTTACATCCATAGGCATCATATTGATTATACCATCACGGTGTACGATAAAAATTAATTACTGTCAGGTTATCCTGACTTCATCGTTAGAATACAGCGCTGAGGACATACCTGTGCAGAACTGTGTTCTACTTTCTTGTAAAATCGGAAATTTATTCCAGAATAGCTAAATTGTATTCTGTATTTTGTCACCCACTCGTCGAGGCCATCTATCCCCTGTGTTGCTACACGCGTCACAATTGCTTCACTTCCAAGGTCCACCTGTAACCATTGATAAAGATCGTTCTTGCGAGCAGACCACCCCCTATTTTTACCATCAGTGGCTGCTTGAATGTGCAACCTGGCCTGCGATGGAGCCCGATCATCATTCAGTTGTGAGGAGGCATATATTTGCGCATCAGAGATTGATTTACTTTCCATGCCGAGGGGGGATACACAGCCTGGGTAAGTCGAAAGAAGCGCGCAGATGTAGTTACAGAAAGTTTGAAACTTTTTAGTATCTTTTAATCCGTACAATTAAGTGTTGACATTTGGAATCGCTTTTAACTTATTTATTTATGCTATACCTCCCACATAGCCCTTCAAATTTAAAGCTGAGGCCATACCTTTAGAAGGTAATTAATTTTCTAAGGAAACTTTCGCACAGCGAGGACTTCCAAGTTAAATACTTAGTTAAGAAACAACGTGAGTTGTGAAAGGAAACTTAATCACCTCAACAAACTTTGAAAAGCTAGATGGTTAAATTATCCCATTCAACGTTAAGATAATTGCAGGTCACGAATTTTCCGACGAATTTTTCCACGCTAGGGGCTGGTTTTCCATCTTTAAGCAGGTAATTAATACCGCTTTCGTGATTTGCAGTTGCAGATGTGTTTTTTGCTTGTACAGATACGTGTAAGACAAATGAAAACAAATACATAACCTTATAATAATAAACATGATAATGATGATTTTAATAACTATAGCGGTAGAGATAATAATGGTGATCAGAGTGATGATAATAACTTAAAAATTAAGTTTTAATGGCAATAAAATATGACAGTGATAAGAATAAAGGTAATAAAGATTAGAAACAATGAAAAATATGAGGAGAAATGAGAAATTACCTGGACAGCCATAGATCTCAAGCCTCATGGATATGTGGTTGTGCCATCTCACCGGTCTAATTCGTATGTAGCGTGCTCTGATTGGTTTGCGTATTTCGTGATAAATGACGGTCTCTCTGTCACTATTACCACGAAAGACCTATGTAAAATTATGAAGACAAGTGGAAAGTGAGCTTTTGATCAGAACATCGATAATGACAATTGATCGGTGTGAGGATACTTTAGTGTAGATCAGCCGACTTCAACATGTTTCAAATGACATATAAGTATATCAGTGTATCTTCAGAGGACTTCGGGTTGCTCAAATTCCATGAAAGAAGGTGCAGCACTCGGAATCTGGATGATATATACACGATTTGAGGTATATGTTTAAAGTTACGTCGAGTAGTCCTCCATTAAGTTTGATCAATTTTTTTTTAAAAGATGACAACCAGAGGCGAGATTTCTCTTCGGGATATTGCTCATAAGATAACATTCTTCAAAAGCCGTGCATGTTTCATTTGTCTGAAACATTTGTTGTTGAGAACATTAGATGTAAACATCGCCAAATTATGCAATATCTGATTTTGAGCTTTTTTCGCGTATTGCCCCTATTACAAGTAGAGGCAGGCCCGCAGAGATTTTTACATATTTAAAAACTAGAATATTATAAACAGCTAGGTGGGTAGTTTCAGTTCCAGAATCGGTGTACGTTTGGAGAAGTTCAGATAAACGTTTTCCCTGTTTTACCCGACAACAAAAATGACCGAAACTGTACCAAGATGAACAATCTAGTGGTGTGTTCACATTCACTCTCAGGGAAAATTGAATAAATCAAAGTGAAGACGAATGATGTCACTATGTATGGCACAATTGCCAGTTTGTAATGTTGTATTTAGCTTGAGATAGAGAAATAAACATTTCACTCTTTTTTTGCGACGTTTTTGTATGAAAATGAGGCCCTAGGCCTCGAACAAGCAGTCGTTGTTACCATGGCAACAAGAGTGCTGCGACCTTTAAAAAGGGCATTTTTGTGCATCCCCCCTAAGTGCCTAACTGCATGCAAAATTTGAAGGGGGGTTGAAAACTTTCATTTCCCAAGATGTTTGATTCTTACAGAGACTTGTTCTTAATGTCTTAAAAATAGAAACAATAGAACTAGCTAGGTATACCTTTTCAGCTTCGAGTGGCGAAGTCTTATAGAACTGAAAAGTTACTCCATCGTCACTATACTGCAACTTATATGCTGTCACATATTGGTCATAGCCTTGTCTGCCTTGGGTCGCTATACCAGTCACTGTAGTGTATTGACCAAGATCCACCTGAAACCACTGGTTTAAATCATTTGCACTTGATGACCAACTTCCGGTGGTTCCCGGAAGTTTCTTATAATGTAACCTTCCTTGCCTGGCCCTAGTATTGCCACTCCACTGTGAAGAAGCAGTTATCTGTGCATCGGTGATTGCCCCGCTATCCATGCCAAGTGGCGCTGCACAACCTGTTTGTATTGAAACGGACATGAAGGTGAAAGGTGTATCTTTTTACGAACAGTTAAAATCTTCGTTTTAGAGGAGCATGATACGTTTGTTCTCTAAACTTAAATTTTCAAAAATTAATAAATCGGAACGTTTCTCATCCGGCCCCCACGATGTTTTTTTAATTATCAAAGAGTTATATTGAAAGTCTATGATTGATATTTAAAGTTTCAGTTGCTTTTAAGGTTTTATCAAATCGTTTCTACCGCGTCAACTGTGTCCGGCTATTGCCAGAAAGAGGTGTACCTGGGCATCCGTAAATCTCCATTCTCATCGATATTCGGTCGTTCCAGTCAAGCGGTTTCAATCGGATGTAACGAGTGGTTATTGGTGGGCTCAATATGTTATAAACAACAGTATTTTGGTCTTGATTGCCATTGAACACCTAAACAATAGACAAAGGAATAAAGAATTTGGGTAAATTTCTTATCACGGCTTAGGTTTGTTCAACCGACAGATTTTATGCAGACTTGATGAGCAGATAAATGTATGAGTTCTGATGGATGAATGGTGAGATGGACGAAAGATGGACCGTGGATCGGTGGATTGAGCGGATGGATGGTAAGGATGGATGGATGGATGGATGGATAAAGGAATTAATGGAAGGAGGGAGAGATGGATGGATTAAGCGAAAGTATGGAATGGATTAATGGTTGGGGATTAGATAAATAGATAAATAGAAAACCTCATTTAACCCGGTAATTTTGACCAAAGTTTACAATGTGCTGCACTTTTGTTATTCCCAAAAGCCATGAACTACAAAATTACCACTAGGCTTTTAAACATTTAGAAATTTATATTGGTTAATGTAAATGATGGTTTTAATTT